TTACTTCCGCGTTCGTAGGCTTCTTTTAATCGTGTTTCCAGGGGCAACATCTGAATAACAGTTACTAAACAATATTTGCAAACTCACCTCTTTTAATTTTTCGGTAGTAGAAACAAACAGTTCTACTAGCTGAGTATCATATTCTTCAACTAGCACTACACCCGCTGTACGAAAATATTTCAATACAAAAATAAAACATACCTATTTCTGCAAGACATTTCAAAGTGACATTTCGGAACAGAGGGACATTGAAGAATTTAAATACCAGAGTTTGTATGAGATTAGTTTCAAATATATATCCTAGAGGAATCCAGTGCATGAAACGAAGTAGCGTCTCCAGCGTCGACACAACTAGAGATGCGTTTTGGGAGTTTTCCAGGACATACTGACAAAGTTGGAAAATCAAGCTGAACTGCTGACACATAGAGTCTTTTAGATGTTTGGCTTTTGTCTGAGTCATTTGACCCAAAGAGAAGTCGAAAACTTCTTCGCTTAACAGACGTAAGATAACCATATTGTTTTGACATAAAGATTCGTTGGTTTTACTTGCTCCAACAATGTCACTAATGAATGTTGACCAGTTATTAGGCCATTCGTGTTTTAATATCTGAAAGAAAATAAGTCACATAAAAATTCTCACCTCAACCAGAATCATATTTAACTTTCCAAGATACGTCTTTTCCGACTCCAAGAGTTCTGAACTAGATGATGTTTGGATGATCAAACCGACAATGTACTTTTTGATACCTAAGAAAATAGTTTCGGGTAACAGTACTGGCTACCTTCACATTGAGGCCGAGCTAAGACTTTCCAACGTGTTTTGATCAATGCTTCAAGTATCTGAAGCGCGAAATACTTCGTTTCTTGGTTTGAACTAAATTCGAGGATTGAATCTACACGCATCCATGCATCTGGATGTTCCTTGAGTGTGTTTAAAACTTTTTCTGCGATTTTTTGTTGATCCCCTGCTTCATGATACATACAGTTTACAACGCGGTCTAGAAGTCCAATATCGAGGCGCTGAGAAAAATCTAAAAGTTGAGCGGCAGCAGACTCCGATATTGCTCCCATCGGTGACGTTGGTGGCATGTATTTTGAAGTTGTAACTAAAAGGTATAAAATATTTTTTTTAGTATTTTAACGTCCGTACCAATATTAGTTTATGACTAAACACAAACTACAAAGATGTACAATCCGATTTATGCCGCTGTCTAAATATCGTGATAAATGTACACGATTGAAACTTGGAACTACGAGAAAATAGGGTGATAAGGCAGTTGTATGTTTAGTACTTTGAGTTAAAATTACGAGCTCAACAAAATTCAATTAAAAATTTACAATGTATTAAGGAATTTAAGCTGGTTGGTTACGCTTTATACTTCCTACAAACTGTTGATTAATAACTAAATGAATGATACATAGGTAATAACAACCCTTACTACATAGAAAAAACTTTGAAAGATAAATACTGACTGTATATTGGCATCTCGAAATGCTCTCACATGATAACGCATGCATAGCCACTGTCGTGGAAGTCCTGCTCATTGCCTTTATGTGGCAGGAGTGTTATTTACGAAATGAGAAGGGTGAAAGGTGAATGTATGGCGCTTTTAGCCGGGTTGAAGGGTGCGGAGGATCCATCAAGAGTCTGACCTTAAAGCGGCATTCGACTCAGTTGATTGTGAGGTTCTGTCACAGTGATTGTCATCGAATGGTGTACAAAGGAAGTATATAAAGTTACTGAAAACTTTGATGAACCATGTTAGCAGGTGAAGACTACCTGGTTGGGGTCCATAAAACGATATTAACCGACGGCTAGACACCTTGAATGACGTGGCTTAAAATCGTTTGCAGTGGCGCAGATGTATTCAATGTTTATGCTCTCTCAAACTCTATTCTTCTGAATTCTTCATCACCTCTATCTTTCTTTTTCTAAATTTATTTTACTGAATTTTACTTCTTGAATAATCTCTTCGCATCTTAAACTTCTCCATTACCTGTAACACTTCAACTACCTCTGCTGCTAGGAATTTGAATTAGCATTTCGATCTCTGCTACTATGGAATGACAACTGGAGCTGATATACGTATGTACGAAGTTCCACGTTGTTGCTGATTGACTGAAGGATGAATCTACTCAATTATTATGATCTCACGAATATTTCCAGGACTCGCTGAAGTACGGTAACAAAATCCGTCTATTTGATAAAAAGATCAATCAATCAATCGCAACGCAGAACTTCGTACGTACGTACGTACATCAGTTAATGTTGCCATACCATGTTAGCACAAAGATGTAATTGTCAGTTCAAATCCAATAGTAGTAGAGGTAGTAAAGGTATTAGCAGTAGTCGGAGAGGTTAGGATTAGAAGATATTATTCAAGAAGTAGAATCTAGTGAAACAGACTTAAAAAGATAAAGATAAAGTGATTCAGAATTAAAAAGTTTAGGAATTGAGAGAACACAAAGAATGAATGCACAGACGGTTTTGAGCCATGTCATTCAGGGTCTCTAAACATCGATTATTATCATCTCGCGGACCCCAACCAGGTAGTCGACACCTACCAACATGACTCAGTCCACTTGTCAGTGACTTCATGGATTTCTGCCATGTTTTGATCTGACCGCCCTTAGGTTTCTTCTAACTTAGTAATACATAGCAAAACATAGCTCGACGAGGCAGTCGGTGGTTAGGCATACGCAACACATGTCCCAACCACTTCAACTGATGAATTTTCAATACTTCATCTATTGACCTGCCATCCTTACCTAGCACCCGTTTCCTAACAACAGCATCGCTCATTCGGTAGTCCCAGGATATACGAGCAATGCTTCGAAGACACCTATGATCGAAAACCAGTAACCTACGAATATCTTCTACTCTCGTTGGCCATGTTTCACAGCCACAAAGCAGGACGGAGCGAACTACCGCACAGTACACTCGTCCTTTAGTCAGCAAACGGATATCTCGCTTGCGCCATAAGTGATGCAGGTTGGCAAAAGCCAATCGAGCCTTCTGTATCCGAGCTGAGATTTTGTCAGTCACCAGGCCATCGGTACTGATGAGACTCCCCAGACAAGTGAAGTGGTCTACACGCTCGACTACTTCACTCCCTATCACTAGTCCAGGTGCCGATGCAACCCAATCTTGAAGCAACATTTTGCATTTCGAGGGGGAAAACCGCATCCCGAACATGCTTGCATTGTTGCTTAGAGTGGTCAGAAGACTGCATTTTGCCAGTGTCTTCACCAAGTAGGAGTATGTCATCGGCATATTCTAAGTCAATAAGCGAGCCACCTGGTAGAAGGTCTACTAAAAATTCAGACGATGATGTTATACATAGGAGCATGTCTATGACAAAATTAAACAAGAATGGGGAAAGTGGACATCCCTGACAGACACCACTTGAAGTATAGAACTCCGGTGACAGTTCACCATAAGCTCTCACTCGACCAGTGGTGTTTGAGTAGAGAGCTTGTATAAGGTTAATGTACTTCTGTGGTACACCTTTCAATGACAGACACTGCCACAGAACCTCACGAGTCGGATGGGATTACGGCCAGTTCCCAGATTCTACCTACGATCTTAGTCAACCTAGCTGCTAAAACTGGACCACCATCCTTAAAAATCTCAGGGGTCAGTCTATCAGGACCCGCTGCTCGCCCTCGCTTCAGATATCCTATCGCTTTCTCAACTTAATTAGGACTAGGGGGACTTACGCCGATTTGCCATTCAGGATAACTGGAGATCGTGGGTAACCGAAGTGTGGCTGAAGGCCAGTTGAACTGATCCCTAAAGTGTTCTGCACATCGGTCCAGTCTCCTGGATTGAGAATGGATAATAAAACCACCCTTTTCCGAGATAGTCCCACTCACATTGGGGTTCCTAATACCAGTCTCCTTGATGAGTCTGAATAGTTGCCTACTGTTGCCTATCGCCGGTGCCTTTTCCATCGCTTTTGCTTTCGCCACCACCACTGTTTACGGTTGTTGCGCAGACTTTTTATCAGCCTGCGCTTAAGCTGACTCCGTTCTTCATTATGTTCAGAGCCAGGTGGGATGAAATTTCGAACATCCATCAGCTCGGTGGATGCTACTGAGATCCACAGCTTCATTCTAGCCTTATGGTTTATCTTACTAGCAGATATCACTGCTGTTTCCACAGCCTTTCTGATATCATCCCAACCTGCTTCCGAATGGGAATCGCTTACATGGTCGCCTAACTGTTTTTCTAGTTGTCCTTGAAATATATTCTTAGCTTTGTTATCATTAAGTAGAACCCTACGGGGTTTCCTTGCTTTGTCTTTCGTACGTCTAGTAGGCCTCAAACAAATACGCGCTCGCACTAGGACATGATCTGAATCTAAACATATGCCCCAGAATGAGCGATAGTCCTCTATCGAACCTCTCCATCGGTGGCTGTTGGCGATGTGATCTATCTTGATAAAAAGATAATGGTAATTGAATAACTTACAAACTCCAATACATTTGCATTTTTACCCAGGATAAATTATTAAGATTCAACCTGGTAATCAAGATAAAATTCTTAGAAGTGACCTAGTGCAATAAACTGGCAAAAATGTGAGACCACAACGGTTATGATAACTGACTGTTCGGAGCGCTCAGACTTCTAAAACTGAATATCGAGTTTAAGACATACTCAACTTAGTTTAAGAAGCCGGTAAGTCGCCGGAGTTAATGGACTGCTTTAAATGTCCATATGATAAGTAGCCTGAAGTACGGTACACGGACCTACAGGTCGTTGCCTAATTACAATATTTGTGGATTACGAGTGGCCATACTGAATATAGCTTGTATACCCAAGGAACACAATACTCGACAGACCTATGAAGTGAAAAACCAAATGGTTGATCATTCGGTGTACGCATTAACAGCACTTCATGAATGTTAAAACTTTGTGGACCTTGCAATGGTTCATTACTATAACCAAACTGAAGTTATTACAAGCAATTTTCCAGTAGGATCACTAAATTTTTATACAACCGTCGAGTGACACAGTTCTATATTTGGGTCTACAGAGATGTGAAAGGTCTGATTAGGAACGAACTCAGACAAACTACAACGCTGTAACTTAAATATTGCAATCAACATTCGTATTAGAAATCATTTCTGCTGACAAACTGGTTTACATAACATCTCGTGTACATTAGATTAAGACAACAGCCGTTTGATGGCTCACAGGTGGAAGACTGGTTCAGAAATTTACTACAATTACGTGATGAACGCTGGCGTATGTCGGTTCTTGATTATGTAAATGATCTTTTGCATGACAAATATATATCCAAACATCCACAGAAATAGTCATAACTTAACTGGAGAAAGTTCAAAAGCATAATAGCAAGTAACAAACGACCTTTTATGTGTACGAAATTCATAAAATAAAGCAACTCATCTAAATCATGAGACTAAGTCAAAATGTTTATAAATGACTTACAAACTGTCTCCTGAGCGATGGAGATTTATAGAGAACAAAAAGGTCAATCACTCAATAGATCGGTCCCTTATGTCTGTCTCAAAACCGGTTTATAACCGGTTTCACGTGCTAACACTGGGACTGTCAAGGTCATCTCCTGACGGTATACAATGACACCAACCGAGAATATAGAATTCTGTTACAGATTTTGTGATCGCAATCGATCCAAGCCTAACTTTGGAAAGCTGCCTTCAATATCTCCTTGGAATACAAAGATCAGCAGCTACTGATTGATTTATCACAGTCCAACTGTCAGCTGAAGGTATTATTTAATCTTCTAGTGATCGATGTTTAATTTTATAGGACTTCAACCCACTGACTATGAGCTGGGAGAATTCAAGAATTGGGCTATCCGAAAGTTTGTCTGAACAGAATTTTGTCAGCCTAATTATAGTGGTTGATCTAATACGAGATGTAAAATGTATCACCGGGACTGCGAATCCTCGTTGCTAGAATTTACATCTACCCATCATGAGAATAGCCTAACTAAACCCAACTACACTCTATCCGTGAGTAAGAAGTTCTGAACAACGTTAACATTTAACTTCTTTCCGCTGACAACAACGGATAGGCCTCAGTTAATATCGATCGCATGAAATCGTATGTACCATAAAATTGCAAACAACATCCTCAATAGGTTGAACGACTGGATTCTTTACTGAAGTAGATTCTTAGATGGGCAAGAATTTGTATGCAAAAATTACTTTTTAGTCTGACTGATACCAAAAAATTGTCCCCTATGGCTCAACAACGACTTCTACCCAAAACAAGAGTGAAAAGAAATTTAGATTACTAAGTGCCCGGTCAGACAAAGGAATACTTTGAGCACAGTTAATACGAAAGCACAAAAATCACTAAGAACTGAATTTTCATAAGGACTACAGAAAAAACACAAAAGGCCTATTTTCTTATAAGGAACCAGAGAAAAATGGGAAGCGGTTTGTAGGAAATCATATATTTGCCTTCAGTAGTAAATAATTTCCCACAATAAATAGTTCTGTCAGTCGACGCTGCTGCTGACTCCATTGGTTTTACTGAACAAACCCAGCTGAGGGTGCTCAGTCACGCGTCCACACCTGATTACCGTTGGGAAACTCGTGCAACGAATCTCGTTTCGTCGTCTAGCAAGCTAGGTTAATTCGCTCGTCTAAATTCCAACTATCACTTAAATATATCTTCGATCCTCCTCATTCAGGACTTCTGATTTCACTTGGCCTTGCGTTCAACTGATCTGCTAGGTGTTACGGAAAAAAGCATCGTTCAACTCTGGCATCCTCATTAGTGAGTCCGATGTGCTCCGGTAGATGATGCTGTGAGTGTGCTTCCAGTCATAATATCATAGATATTAGCAGGTCATCACGTTATTTTTCTGTTCGAATATAATGAATTATTTGAAAGCATCTCGAAGACACTGTACTAAGTGATACCTAAAAAAACAGGGCCATTACACCAGAATTCATTATCGTGAATCTCCGCCGAACTAACTCAGTGTACCGACAGAATTTCATCAATCTTTTGGAGATAACAATAATCGCTAAACGTTCTCACTCTGGAAAATTCAAGTTTCACAAACAAGCCGATGCATTGTTGATCCGGCCTTTCACAGACAGTCTAACATAATGAAGGCACCAAAAATGACCCAAATTATCATGAGTTACTTTGAATTTTTTTAAATGGATTGATCTTATCACTCAAGACACCATCAGCATTTAAACAGCCACAAAGATACACGAACTTCTCGAATACTGTCAAGAATGAGTGCACGTTCAACTTCTACGAGATTCTTTTGCATGTCTTAGTGTGAATAAGCTGGAAAATCCCTGGATGTAGAGATTGGCGTTTTGAGATCTGGTCATTATATGAATGTAAAGTTAGCAGTTTTCAGTGCCCTTACTTGCAGATTCATTATGGATTTCGATTTTCATATGATTAAAATCATTCATTTCGTTTACGATCTTAATTATGCCCCTTCCTTTGCTACCGTATCAGTGACAGCTATATTTTGTCTTGCACAGCCACTGTGCTTCTAGGAGTGCCGGACTGAATGGCTACATTTTTTATCAATACTACGTTTTTTAATGAAATGATTAGGCTTAGAAGATAGAGGTCAAGTTTCCTGTATACCAGAAACATATTTTTATGTTGAAAACTTCTTTCAATAATCCTTTGATTAAATTCACAAGTAGTCTTTCATTTGATGCGCATATTTTCATATGGTTATCATTTTGCAATCAGTTTCTCATCTTTCAAAAAAAGTCCTACACGCACATTTTAAAAGGGACAGTGGTTGCAATACTCGGTGCGAATCACATTTCATTTTCCTTATTTCTTGTATCGAAAGATTTCTCGGTCTGTTTTAACTTGAACTATCCAGGTTAAAGCTGTGACATTTATTAAAATTCGCTTGGTGTTATTTATCTCCGTCGAATCACACAGTAGTTAGAATATTGTGCATTCTCTTGACTTTTTCAGCCTTAAGTCAACTTACAATTGCTGAATGAACTTAAAAATTTGGACGGCGACATTGTTGTTTTCCTTGTGATAAAGGACCGAATGGCGATGAAAGTAACTTGTGGTTCCACAAAGTCTACCCGTTTGAAACCTGCCTCTCACAAAACTTACTGAAAGGTTTGATTTGCTTCTAATATGATAACTGTACAAGAGTTCAGATAAAAAAATGATCAGAATTGGTAGGGTGATTGAACAAAATGTTGAATCTCAACCGTATAGACTCCTAAAGGTAGTTCTAGGGCAGGACGAACAACGAAATCTCCTGTGAACTTATGCTTGACATAAAGATAATACCAACATTTGAGTATGAACTTATATGTTGCCATAAGATTGAGCAGAATATACCTAGTCAATGATACTGAGGTTACTTTTCTATGTCAACTATGTATTCGACTCATGTTTGTAAACTTGAACTGGTTTCGTTCTCTATCGAGAGATCCGAATGGAAGTGGACATGATAAATTGCATTTAAAGGGAGTTCATTCGTAACCTCATACAAGTAAGCGAGATAAAAGAGTAAAATTTTCATCATTGCTATGTCCCCTAATATGCAGACTGCCTTACTGAATTTATTCTTCGTTTTAGCGACCAGTATGAGTTTCATCTACTGACGTACCCATACTATGTGTATCCCACTATTGTCGGTATAATATCAGCCACATATCTGGTTGTCTGGATGCACTTTTTTCGCTTTTTTTTCTTTTCGGAACCATGCAGCTTCCTCTTGTGCAGCAAACACGTCATGAGTGAGCTCATCAGGGTCACAAAATAAACCAAACAGCTTACAATGGATATTTTCCGAACGTTCCATAGCGCAAATACTCGGAAGTTGGATCGCTCTGAACACCATCCCGTGAATCGCTCAAAAACTATGAAATTTGATGGGAATTTACCATATTTGTAATCACTTAGGGGGAGTATAATTGTATCGAAATGATCATGTCTGCTAAATGGAGTGAACCTGCAATGTCAGAAATATATTATTCTGAGAGTCTAAAATGACGAGAAATTCGATATGTGTCATTTTCAGTCCTGATATATCTCTGTAAGATAGGACACAAAGGAAGGCGGTTCTAACTGAACAAGAAACCCATCGACCGAATGGTGAACTGAGCTTACACCTGGTGGGTTTTTGAGTGGTCAGGCCGTGGAAGCGAATGCTACCAAGACTTTTATGAGTGGGTTGTCCCAATTAAGGGTTGATATACAAATGCTTGTAACTCCGCCGGTAGAACCTTCGAGGCTGCTGCCGGTCCCAAGCCCGGATAAAGAAGGAGAGATTGGACATGAGGTTGGCACCCCCATCCCATCTATAAATTAACTTGCCAAAAAACGCTAACCAGAAGAAATAATTAAAACCATTTTAACTCTGCCCTGGGAGTTGCAAGAAGAATTATGACATGGCGTGATGAAAGCCGAGTACCTGCGGAAGTCGCGAGGCCGATGCCTCTTCTGACAACCAGAGCAATAATTCTCTAGGTACATGGGACGTTCGTACATTGTGGGAGACTGGAAATCTATTTCAAGTTGCTGCAGAAATGAAAAGATACAACCTCGAGGTGCTCGGCATCAGTGAAACACACTAGACACAGGTAGGACAACTGAGACTAGCTTCAGGAGAACCGCTGTTATACTCTGGTCATGAAGCGGAAAATGCTTCATACACACAAGGATTTTCACTGATGCTGTCCAAACATGCACAAAAGGCACTGATAGGATGGGATCATTAAAGCACCGTTCAAAGCAAAGAAGGAGGACATTACGATGAACGTCATCCAATGTTATGCACCTACCAATGACTACAATGACGACGTTAAAGATCAATTCTACGTAAGGCTGCGATCAATCGTTGAGAAGTGCTCAGCAAAGGATTTGACGGTTCCTATGGGAGACCTGAATGCCAAGGTTGGCATGAACAACACTGGATATGAAGACATCATGGGACGACATGGACTGAGAGAAAGGAACGTAAATGGTGAGAGATTTGCAAACCTATGTGCCTTCAACAAACTGGTCATTGGTGGCACAATATTCCCACACAAACGCATACACAAAGCTACGTGGATTTCACTGGATCACACTACTCAAAACCAAGTCGGCCATCCATGTATCAACAAAGTATTCAGAAGTACCATGAAGGATGTGAGATAGGAGATATAGCTGATATAGCCACAGATCACCACTTGCTGGTCATCAAAATGAGACTGAAACTCAAGAGGCAATGAACAATTTGGCAGACAACATCACAAAGTTGGATACGGCCTTTATTCAGGATACTGACAAACCGAACAAATTTAGAATAGCCCTCACCATTAGGTTCCAGACCTTGCAGGATCTACTCAATGGAGAGGAAGCAACATTGGAAAACGATTGGAAATGGATCAAAGAGGCGATCACTTCAACATGCCAGGGTGTTCCAGGTCACAATAAACACCATGTTAATGATTGGATGTCTGTTAGTACTCTTGAAAAATTGGAGAAAGTGGGAACAAGAGGGCAGCAGTCAATGTCAGCCTAACAAGAGCAGAGAAAGTTACCGCACAAACTGCATACACAGAAGAAAACAGGCAAGTGAAGAAGAGCATCAGAGCTGACAAACGAAAATGTGTGGAAGATCTAGCAATGACGGTGGAAA